TCCTAATGCGTTGACACCAGGCCGCTTTGTAGTACTGGGTTAAATTTGTTGAAGGTGCAAGCGCTAGGAAGTCAATGGAGCCGCACCTATTTACACAGGCAGAGGACTTGCATTTCCTATTTATGCAGTGAGGATTTTCAACAGATGGCGGTACTGACTGAAGAGCAGGCTGAGGCTGCCCGGAGACTGGCTGGAGCCAGGGAACGGCATCAACCCTTTTCTTAAGTAATTCATCTATTCTGGGAAGCTTTAAGGTTCACTCAGCAGCACCCCATGGCACTCCTACAATCTTGTTTCAGCATGAATAATATTTGGGTTGATTTTTCTATCCACACAACAGAACAAGCCTTTGGAAGTGATAGTCGGATACGCCAAAGCCTCCCATTGCCGACTCCTGCTATATTTGCACAGGCTCTGGTTCTGCAGCGAAAGATTAGACCTCTTGAGCCCTTGAAACTCTTGTGACATCTGATTTTTAACACACCCCCAAGCCATTCCCAGCAATGATAAAATCCAGTTACAGTGTTCTGCAGAAGTGATGATTAAACCCAGCGGCTTCCTTTCTTTTTCTTTTTACTTAATGCAATATCATCAAATACGCAAGTACCTCTAAAAAGCAGCTTCTATTTTTTTTCCTTGCAGGTACCTTAAGCTAATGGGGAAGAAATGCACTTCTCCCTGGACCCCATAGATTAGCAAACTGTCACAACCCAATTAAATTGTGCCCATGCCACTGAGCAAGAGATACCATTCAAATCATCCTCATTTTGACGATTAAGGGTTAAAAGACATCCCTGCCAAAAATTCCTTGAAACAAAACGCAGCCGGAGTACTGTAGATAATTGGTCAGCTGAAATAAAATGCTAGGGAAAACTATATATAATTGGTCCAAAAATAAGCGTAAGCTCCTCACACGTAGCACACACGTAACAGGTAGAGAAACCTAACCCACTACCTTGTAACTTGAGGAGACAAAGAGCTGCCACCTGCCAAAAATTAAAGATTCCATATAACGGTTCACCATTGGATATTCCTGTAAAACACCTCTGCCTATAAATAGTTTAACGGTTTCCGCCCAAGGGGGAGAGCTCTGGGGATCTCACAGGAAACACCTGTGATTGTCACCAGAGAATTGGGAAATTGATCAATTCCTAATCAATCACCCCGTCAGCGTAAAATATTGACGTAGAAAGTCTTGCAAGCCCGACCGTTCGTTCCGGTGCCACGTCCGTCATTATCCCGTTGTAACCTGACTGCGTGCGTGTACTCGACTCTGTAACCAAAGTTATATGCATATACTCAACTCTGTAACCGAAGCTGTAACGGAACAAAGGCTCGCCTGCGTCGTCCGTCACTATCTAGGCGACGTAAGTAAACAAAATCCTGTAACCTACACGTGTCTGTGCCTGGTTAATTCCACTCCATCCATCACTACCCGCCTGCCGAGCTCTAAATCTAAACACTCCGGTGTGTGTCAGACAAGCTGCCGGCGGCTGCTCTGATTCACGACACAAACTTCAAAGGGTCCACTGCATAAATATTAGCAAAGCGATGCATGTATCAGCAATGCAATTCTCAACCAGGGTGCCTTGAGAATATTTCAAGGGTGCCCCACAATGTTAGCACTGTTAGGTGGGCAACATAATTCAGATGATAAACCCAGAGATTTCAAATAGAAATCCATCACATTAAAAACACTCTCCCCTGTTGTGGGCTTCCTGAGTTCTTTGCAACAGAAGAATTGCTCTATTATCTTTTCTGTCCTCATAAACCACATGAAAACTAAGAGCTGGCATTTTCCAAGGGGTGCTCAAGTCTAAAAAGATTGAGAACCAGTGCCCTAGACAACCTGGGACCTGCTTGGTGAGGGCTGCTAGAAAAGGAAGACAAAGTCCATCATCAGTATTACTGAATTGGGAGGTTGCACACAGATCAGGCACCTGGGCTGGGAGTCTTCCATGAAGGGGGCTTTCCCTTTCCACCTCCCCCAGCCTGAACGAGCCGGTAGGAGGTGGGAGGTACCTGCCTGTTGGCCACCTTGGTTAATTTGTTGGGTGAAGGTTGTCCCAGATGTATTTCAGCAACTCTGGCGGCACGTGCGCCAATGCCTAGAGCTGGGTTATGTCGATGCATGTTGGTACACTACCTCGTTAGGTGGGGCACGCTGTCACACGCCAAGAGAAACACAGTAACCAACTCGGCTCATACCTGTCTGACTAAATTAAGGCTCCAGCCATGGGAGATGCCTTCACTTGCTCCTGCTGTCTTGGAACGCATTCAACTGTGGAGCGCTGCATTCAGTATTTTCCATGATCAGCGGGGTTTGAAGCCAAGCTGGAGATCTGAATACGGGAAAGTTTACTCCCAGCCTCTTCGGTCTTCTTTATCCAGCGTGAAAAAGGCACCATCTCCTGGTCTGCAGCTGCTCTCGACCGGCCCAGCCAATGCCCCATTGCATGTTTCAGGCTAGATTCTTGTCCCTTCTATTAGGCATCGTAGTGGCACTTGGGTGTCTAAATGCAATCCTACTTCACGCTGCTTGGGTCCCTGACGACCTGCTAACACATCTATTTGTGTAACACACCTTCCTCCAAGCTATTTATTTAGCATATGTGGTTTCGGCATATTGTTTCAGCCATTTTAAGGCGATGCCATCACCACTGTGAAGAGCTTAAAGGCCACCAGGTAGCATAGTAAATGGACACGAGTCAACAGTGTCTGAGCTGTATGACTAATTCATCCAAAGCAACAAGGAGGTGGATGACAACTCAGCCAGTTTCTACGTTCATGGTGTTTCGGAGACTAGGAGTGGGTGGAACAGGATTGCACTTAGGTGCCTGAATACTACTGAGGCAAGCATATTTTTGGTGGTATCTTTTGTTCCCAGTGACCTCTTCTTCCTAAGTGTCTGTAAGAAACATCATATCCTCTCCAAGGAACCTACCACCTCCAGCCCTCTGGCTAACACATGCAACTCCAAATGTGTAACACAACAATGCAAGGAGACCTCAGACAGACTGAGAAACCATAGTCTTTATCTCACCTGCTCCAAAAGGGGTGATGTCTAAGAACCACTAAGACACCTCCTCGCTAGAAGCGGTATATAGCGATCGAGACAAACTGAAGATACGAGACACCCACTGTACAGCTCATTTAATCTATGCAGACGACCTGTGCGTAACAGCCCAAAACACTGGCTTTGACCATGTTGAAAAATCCCTAAGCGAGGCACTAAACACCCTAACCTCATACTACATTGAAAACCAATTACGCGACAACCCAATGAAAACACAAGTACGTGCCTTCCATCTGAAAAACCATGAGGCCAACCACCAGCTCAACATTACGTGGTCCGGGACTCCATTATCCCCTGTCCAAACCCAGTTTACGGTGGAGTCGCCCTCGATCTAGCTCTCTCATACAAAGAACACATCGTGAAGACAAAAGCAAAGGTGAGCAGTCGTAATAACAGTTGATATAAGTTCACCGACTCGAAATGGGGAGCTAGCCCCTCAACTGTCCGAACCACTGCTCTAGCTCTCAGCTTCTCCTCTGCTGCGTGTGCATGCCCTGCGTGGGAGAGATCAGTACATGCTAAGCACCTTGATCCCATTGTGAATGTTAGTTGTCAATGCATCATGAGACGTCTGAAGCCTACTAGCCTAAACAGTGCATACCTGCTGGCTGGCATCGGTCCACCCAACATCAGAATAGCCATGGTCAGCAGGGTAGGACAATCAAGACAAACTGAAGATGTGAGACACCCAGCGTACAACCACGCCGTAGTGCACAAGCGCCTAAAATCACCAGCACCCAGCCTCTTGATGCCACACCCAAGGAGACACGACTACAGATGTGGAACAAGAGTCTGAAGAAAATACCTGAAAGTGGAAAAATAGACATCCCAGCAGCTGAGTTCTCACCACCAGGAGCTGACGAACTACGGCAAAGGTGGGGATGTCTCAACCGCCTACACACCGGCGTCGGATGCTCCAAGGAGCTAATGAAGAAGTGGGGCTATCCCATTGCTCCAACCACCTAGGACTGCGGCACAGACCCTCAGACTATGCAACACCTGCTGCAATGCCAGCTGCTCAAAGGCAAGTGTACAGTGAAAGAACTCGCAAAATACAATAAAGAGCACAAGCATGTGTAACAAAATGGTCAAATGTGGTGCAGAGACACAAGCAGAAGACCTCTTGGCTGGAAGAGGACTTAGCCCTTGCTCTTCATTTGTAAAATATGCTGATGATCATTGCTCTGATTGAGCTCTGACTGCACCAGCAGTATCTTTGCCAAATGAGCTGTGCCCTGGTTGGCTGCGGGGAAATCAGTGGCAACATAACTACATCTTTAGGTAGTCACATCCACACCAGCCCCTAAGAGACATACTGCACCACAGTGAACTGGATCGTCCACCAGGCATGTACTGGTCTGAACCTTGCTTTCCAGGGGTGCAGTGCAGTAGGGTAGGGGCTTCCAGGGCAGACCTGTGTCTGTACAACTACCACGGTGCAAATGCTGCTGGTTGTAGATAGGCCAGGGTCTTTGGGTAGATATGATACCTTTTATTAGATCAACTGAGTAGACAGCTGTTGGGACAAGGTACAGCTGCAGGGGGATGCACTGGACAGATGCTGCTCTCAGCTGTTCCTGGTGACTGTCTCCCTTGGGCTGACAGGAGCATGTGATTAATGCTTGCGTCTGAACTGAGTTGGCAGGTCCTGTGCGCCTGTCTGTTGAGTTAGCCCATTATTTCCAATGAGAACTTAAACATAAGAACATAAGAGCTGCCATTGACTGGGTCAGACCATAGGGTCCATCTTGCCCAGTCTCGTGTGTCACATGGGGGCAGAGAGCAGAGGCTGGAAGGGAGAGTGACCTGGGTATGTCCAGGGTTTTTCCACTGTTCCTCTCTCCCTGGCAGCCTCCAGCATTGAAGGTCTAGGAAGGGCTGATTCAGAGGCCGTGCCCCTCACTCCCATGCTCAATAGCTCCTGATGCCCCTTTCCTCCAAGCACATGTCCAATGTCTTTGTGAATCGAGCTAAACGCTCTGCTTCCCCCACGCCTGGTGGCAACGCTTTAATTCCACACTGGGTGACAAATTCTCCCGAGAGATGCCAGAATAGGGCAAAGACTCACAGGGGGGCTGATCCCTTGTGTATAAAAACGTTTATTAGCTTTGGTTTAAAGCACTCTGTCTATATTGCACAGCGTGAGGAAAAGGCCTGGTCGCCATGACGGGCACTGAAATGGGAAATACGAACTCCTTGTGTTGCACTGCCCAGCCTCTGGTCACCTCTGTAACAGGATGATGTGGCATTGCTGTCATCTGAGGGGAAATCAGTCTGCTGGAAAGACCTGCCCTGTGCAAACATCTGGGATCGGGCTGTAAAGTGTCCGTGCAAGATCCCTGAGCAAAATGTTGTGGCTGACCCCAGATCGCCAGATGTGGCTCCGGCAGGTCCTCTTCCTCCTGAGGCTCAGGACGTTGCTGGTAGCAATTGGAGAATATCCTTTCCCCTCCACCCCCCAGACATTTCGCCTCATAAGCTAACGCCACCTGAAAGAACAAAGGGCAGAGGTCAGAGATCCAAGAGGAGCGAGACGGGGGCAAGAAGGCAGCTGGTCAACTGCTGGATAAAGAGAAGACTGCGTTAATCAAGGGGTTGGTTTGCCCATGAACTTCTGCAAGGTCACTGAGGAGTTGCCGCAGGGACGGGTGATCAGACTGGACGCACTTCAGGGCACTTTGAAGGTACAAGAGGAGAGGACTTGCTGGTGCTTTACCAAGGCAGCACTGCCTGACCCGGAGACCTCGTGCCCCATCCCCTGATCCACCTTACTCACCAAAAGTGACCTTCATAACTAAAGGGAACAAGCTACAAAGTGTCTTCCCTCCTGAGGTCCCTTCCAACCCTCATTTTCTATGATTCCCCAGATAACATAACTCCCCTATCTCACCGAGAGAATAAATGAAGTGGATTGTGACGTGCTCAGAGGCTACCATCACCTAAGCCCACCTCATGTACACAGTTTCTTCACCCCCTAAGCCTCCATTCTCTGCCTTCTAGAGATAAGGACCCTTAAGCTCATCTCCCTTCCCTCCCCAGGATCTATCTCCCAGGACCTTGTCCAGTCTAGCTTAAATGTCCTAGCAGTGTTTTCAGAGAGAGGCTGCTTCACCCATTCGCAGACCTGTCACTAGTCGGTAAACGTCCTTTATTGTCTGGGTCAGCCTCCAGTCTCACCTTTTTCCAACTACCTTCCATTTATTGCAGATGTCTTTTTCTTCCTTATTTTAAACGAGCGAATGAAGCTACTTTTAAAAAATCCAAATGGACGCAGTAAGACAGGTGATGCTTTAATGCACATTAGCCTAAGTTAATGAGCATTCAGGGCACGCATCTACATATGGTGAATTTAGTAGAATTTAGTAAAAACGGTGAATTTAGGCTATTCACATCTAAATTCAATACCTGCAAATGCAGATGTCCAATTTAAGCGCGAGTAGTTAAAGCGCATTAATGTAAGTGTAGATGCGTTAAAGCGCGTTAATACTACATGTGGACTGACTTGGGACTAACTTTAGCCCCAAGTCAGCATTAATGCGCTTGAACACCTGCATGTGTAGATGCCTGCCTAAACCCGCTTAATGCGCATTAAATTTTGGCACGCTTAAATGCACGTGTAGACACATCCACAGTATATAAAATCCTGCATGTATAAAGGTCTTTTTCTTAGAAGCACAAACCACCCTCGACTCTGCTGTCGGCTGGGACTGCAGGGCTGAGCTTCTGTATAAATCAAGCCTATGAAGAGGTGTGCTAACACAGCTGGGCAAAAGGGGCAGCAGTGACTTTTAGCTGCTGTCAGCCCACCAGCGTGACTGTAATGCTACGGCCCAGCGTGGCTTCCCTAGTAGCCCCATCCCAGTTACACTGCTGAGTCTACATCATAGCTGTATTGCAACTCACCTTTCTGTTCTCTTTATCTGGGCTGTGTTCTTCCCTTCCGGCTCACCAGTCACTTCTTCTCTCCTGCCTTCTTTCCATGGGACATAACAGACCACCTGAGCCACTTCAGAACCCTCCACAGCTTTGTTTCTTTTTCTCTTTGAAAGTACCAGTTCAGTAAAATAAGAATGAAAAGATGTGCCCAGAATATCTAAGTGATCTCTTGCAGGTACCAGGAGAACTAGTATATTCTGAGCTCAGGTTGAAGGGAAGAAAACAGAGCAGCCACGCAGAACATTTGTAGGGCTTCTCCTACCCTTTCACCGTGATGGCAAGATGGGAAGCCAGGTCTTGCAAATACTTGCCACTGCTTAAAAATAAAGCTGTATGTTCAGTCAGGAGTTGAGTGGATGGCACGTGGTGACTGACCAGTCGGAGCCTAATGCAGCTGGAGTGTGGGTCTTCAAAGCACCAAGGATCCTTCCCCCTTTCAAGTTTAGCGGATAACACTGATTTCGTTGAGGGCCTCAGCCAGTGGGCGTCATACAAGACGCCATCATCTCTGTCCTTTCGGTCAGGTGTTCTAGGTCGTTTTGATGGTCTTCCAGGGGCATTTCTTCCCGTCGTTCTATGATTTCACAGCCATTCATAGACATTTGGGCTGGAAGGGACCTCGGAGGGTCATTGAGTCCAGCCCCCATGATGTCCCTCCATGTACTAAGTGGGATGTCTTCTTGACGAAATGCAAACTGATGCCTCCTGCAGCTGCAAAAGAAAACATTAATGGGATCAGAGAACATGAGCGACCACGTTGCTAACGGCTTCACCTATGCTGCCTGTGTGCTGCAGCATAGACCAGGGATACAGAACATCAACTTGGAGACACGTGAACCACAAAGAGTGCTGGTATTTGATCACTGACTCATGAGTTGCCAGGATGTGACTAATGCCAGAACATTGTGATGGACAAGGACACGGACTTGTCGACACAGGGAAGTTACTGCACAATGAGATAGGGGGTGAATTTAAAGCCCAAGGGTTATATTTGCACTCAGTCTCCACCTGCTCACTTTCCCGTCACACTAACGTGCCCTTGTGTGGTTCAGGTTAATCATAGAAAATGAGGGTTGGAAGGGACCTCAGGCAATCATCTATTCCAACCTCCTGCTCAAAGCAGAAGAAATTTCTTGAGCCCACCAGGGCTGCACTTTCAGACTGAAACTCAGAGGCCCACGCCCAGCTTTAAACCCATAGCATGCCTGCTCCTAACTCAGCTACCAAGCCACTGAGCCACAGAAGAAGACTTAATCTGCTTTGGAAGTTCAGAAGAATGCTCCACGTGCTGGGCCGTTCCAGTACAGATTGCCTATTCTGGATTATAGCCCCTAAAGTGTGTTTATACATGCAAATAATCTGGGAGCAGTTTACTCTAAAGTAAAGCACGTCAGAGTAAAATCTCTTGGGCATGTGTCTACATGTGCAGGGACGCAGAACCAGATTTGCTGCCCCTAGCAGCAGGCTGCTCCCACTCCCTGAAGCCCTGCACTGAGCCCCTGCAGCAGCCAGTAGGAACTCTAGGCTCCCTCTGGGTGCTAGCCCAGGGGCTGGCAGGCACCATGTGGGCAGGAGACAGCTGTAGGACATTGCTCCCTGCCCTCAGGAGCTGTAGGACATTGCTCCCTGCCCTCAGGAGCTGCCTGCTGCTGGGGCTGACTCCACCGCTGGAGCCCAGGCAGGACAGTGTCTCCCTCCCCCAGCAACAGGGACCTCCCAGCCTCTGCTCCATGATTGTGGGGCCGGGAAATCCTCATCTCTCAGTTCCGTGGTCACGGGCCCGGTGCTGGGAGATCCTTCTCTCCCAGCGCCGGCCCCATGACCGCGGAGCTGGCACTGGGAGAGAAGAATTTCCCAGCCCCGGCCCTGCAACTGCAGGATTCATGCTGGGAGATAAGGATCTCCCAGCCCCTTCATTGTGGAGCAGGGGCTGGGAGCTCCCTCTGCCAGGGCAGGGGGACATTGCCCCCACCTGGGCTCCGGTGGCAGAGCCCGCCCTGGTAGCAGGCAGATCCCAGGGGCAGGGGACAGTCTTCCCCCCTCTGCTGCCTGTCTGGCCGGGAGCAAATGTGTTGCTGGTCAGGCATCTACATGTGCACAACTGTGCAGTAAGTAATCTTGAATAAATCTGCTACTTGCAAATGTGTGCAGGTAGCAAATTTGCTCACAATTATTACTGCGCAGTAAGCATCTGCATGTGTAGACAGTGACACTTACTGTGCAGTAATTAGCTCTAATCTCGACTAAAGGGTCTCAAGCAGATATGCCTCTACACAATCCCAAAAATTACAGAGCCAGAGGGGTGGGGAGAGGCCTCCCTGCGAATCTGGCTCTTAGAAATTGGAGACCGACTTGCGAAGTCGATACCACTGATGGTCCCTTCGAGAAGTGCCAATCTCGGTAATGTATCAAAGAGTGTTTCATCCTGGCTACTTTCAGATGCCTGGCACAGCAGGGCTTCCCCACTTCCCTCTGAGGATAGCATCACAATCTAGGGAGCTTGCTCACTCCTGGGAGCTTGACGATATTGGGGCTAAATCTTCCCTTCTAGGTTTCTGCCTGTTATCTCTAGTGATATCCTGAGTGTAACCCTGAAAATTTCTCCTCCCTCTTACTTGCAGCATCCTTCAAATAAGAGTTATTACTGATTAATGAAACTTCCTACTAAGCCACTGGTGGTTTGATAAGTAGAAGAGATGGGCCTAGAGTTACAAACAAAGGCCATCCCTTTTAATGGCATCAGGTCAATGCTCACCTCTACGTAGAAGGTAAGCAGATGTAACCCGTTCACCACTAAAGTTCCACGTAGGCCCTGTTTTGAGGACGCAATGGGCACGTCTACATGTACACTTTAATGCACATTAACCTATTTTAATGCACATTAAAGTGTCACCAAAAAAATGTGCACTTTTGCTAATGTGCATTAAAATAGGCTAATGTGCCTTCCTCTACATCTTCCTCACAATGGAGGTACTACATTTAATGTTCGTTACCAAAAGCGCTTTAATGAGCATGTAGACATGCCATCAGAACTTATGGGATGCCTGGGGCCTTGGGACAGCCCTCTGTACAGGAAGGAAATTCAGCCATCAGGACTTACTGGCAGCTCAGGTTATCTGTCCCAGTTACAGCCTCGCTTATCTGTAATGATGGATGATTGGGCTTTTTCCAAGCTGCCTAAAGGATTGAGAGGCACAGCTCTCACTGAAGTGAATGGGCACGGCATGTCTCAATTCCCAACATGGCTTTGAATCGTCAGGCCACCTGCACTCTGCAATTTGCCTGTGTTGCATCTTTGTAGGACATGCTAGTAATACTTACCTTTGTTTTTTCCAGGCATAATATAACCCAACAGCTGCAATCAGCAACACCAGTGGAAACACTGCAAAGAACAAACATTTCTCAGATTCAGAAAAGTAAGATCAACGAACTGATGCGATCCCAACACGTAATAGTCCAGCTGCCTGGCCACATCGCTAGATAGAAAGATGCCAGAAACATCCCATCCCGTTTGAACGAGGACTGCACTGTTCCCTTCCTGCCCTGGTTGGACCAAGGTTCACTTGTGAACCGGAGGAGAGAAGGGTTTATCAAATTGCCAGTCCATTGGATCTTCTCCAGTCCACTGCTTTCTCCAGTCCATTGGATCTTCTTACCTGGGAGGTCTCCCATGCAAATACCAAACGGACCTCGTACTGCTTCGTTGGAGGCTTGACATGCAATCCCAGCTCCAGATGGATTTGACTTCAGGCACTTAAACATCAACACAAACCCCCCGGACAACCCTCCTCCTTCCCACATATAAGCGACAACCCCTCGTAGGGCAGAATAATGCTTACCCGTAGAAGAAATCACGACCTGGGTGAAACCTGGGGACGAACACAAGAGAGCAGAGGTTACACCTCCACAGAGCCAGTGAGTTTATTACCTCCATATTGCCCACATGGTCAGCAAGCTGCAGATCAGCATTTGACCCAAGCAAAACCCAACACAATGCTATGTGACTGCCCTTATCAGCCTGAGTCACAAGGCAAAGGGCTGCCTGAGGCCTTGGTATGGGCGTGTGGCATTTCCCAGGCACCTGGCCAAGTTTCATTTACTGTCACTAAGGGCCTGTTTTGCCCTCGGACTCTGTATTAAGGTAAAGGACAACTTGAGGCCAGATTGGGTCTAGTCTTTATGTGAGCACTTGAGGTCAAAAATGCCTTTTCCCAGAGCACAGGACAAGGGTGCAGGGATTCCTTCTAGTGACCCTGGGCCAAGAGACCACCCAGTAATGTTGGCCAGCCATGGGGAGGGATGCCACTGAGCTCCTGGAAAGGTGCAGTTGAGAGGTGCCCTCTGCTCAGGCATCATGTGAGTTGGACAGCCCTTCCCTAACACTAGCACCATTTAATGCAATCCAGTCTGTTAATGGATTAAGATAAGATGAAAGAAAATATTCAAACTGAAGTAAACTTCAGTTAACCTGAACTAGTGGGTGTGGACAAGGTCACAAGGACATGCCACTGTGTACAGTCTCTGACTTGGCAGCACTGACATGGTTAAGCAAGGTGCTTTGCACAAAGAATTAGCAGATTAATTCTGCCCAGCATTGACATTAGTTGGGGTTTAGATAATGGCAAACCTTCAGTGCTGGGAGTGGCTGCTGTGGGTAGCTGTGTTTGCTCTTCAGTGGTCAGGCTGACGGATGCTGCTGCTGACTTGTCTCCATCTGTTGTAAATGTATCTGGGGACGGTTGGTTAGTCCCCCCCCAGGAGGTGTGTGTGTCCTGGCTGGCTGTTGTAAACGGCTGCGTCATGCCTTCTGTGGTTGGGTTAGTGGACACCTGGGTCGACCCGATCGCCGTGGTTGTGGTCACAAGTGTTTCCAGTGAAGATGTGTCAGCGGTGGGTTGAGACGTGGGACCTGCCAGCGGTGAGGTGGTCTCCCTTCCACGGGACGGTGTTGAAGCCATGCCTGGGTCTGTAGTGATCTCTGGAGTGACTAGGTGTTCAGATGGTATAAAAGCTTTGAATTTTATAATTATTTCTATCATTCATTTCTATTACTACAATGCTAACAGAGCTCTTTTGGGTGGCCTGGACAGTCTCCTAACCACTGAATAAGCTGCTTAACACGGAAGAGAATTCAGTCGGGTGTCAGCTGGCTGAGTGATGGGCCATCAATCTCTGATGGGCAACAAGAGGCGTAATAGCTATAAAATATTGGACAGTATATTCAATTATATTTTAAAAACATGATTCAATCGGTCTTTCACGTGGTTCTGTAGCAGGCTCTAGCACCTCGCTGTACATACACCCGAACCATTTACTGTCTAAGACCCAGCAACCGTGCTGAACAAGCAGAGGGCAGGCAGGCGAGAATGAAAGGGCAGAGAACAGAGCTCAGTTCATAGCCATGTTTTGCACCTATAATTTTATGCCCAGCCATAATTTGGCACCAGGAGCTATGGCCTGATTTTCAACAAGCCCCTCTTATAAAGGGGACCCAGGTGCCTAACCTTGCATACGCAGCTTTGAAAAGCCTGGTCTACGTCTAGGTGGTGGAAGCTCCATCCTTGGAGGTGTTTAAGACCCGGCTAGACAAAACCTTGGCTGGAAAGATGTGGTTGGGGCTGGCCCTGCTTGGAGCAGGGGTTTGGACTAGATGTGACCTCCTGAGGTCCCTTCCACCCTCGTTTTTTATGATTTGAGGATCATTTCATGCATCGCTCAAGGGTCTTGGCCCCTGCTCAGGGTCAGACCGATGCCACATTTAGAGCCAGGCAGGAATGTTACCCCATGATCAGATTGGTTATGGACTGTGGGGGTTTAGTCTTCCTCTGTAGTGGGGGGCATGGCCCTCTTCCTGGTATCTTTTGAGTGTACATTTATAACTTCACAGAAGCAGGACGTTGCTTTACCCGTGGCAGTCTGGTGTTATGTCTTGTGTTGTGTCAAGGTAGATGGTAGTTTTATGAATAAGTTCAATTATGGATTTGTATGGGATGGCTTGGATAGGGCTGGTCCTGCCTCAGGCAGGGGGTTGGACAAGCCGACTTATGAAGGTCCCTTCCAGCCTGACTCCTCTACGATGCTGTGAATTGCAACCATAACGGTTTGGGACATGTGGGTCTCTGCTGTTGCAAAGAGACGTAGCATGATAGACTTTGATGAGCTGCACTGATTAACATCAGCTGAAAATCTGGGCCATGGTATCCAATGGAAACATCCCCCCGTCCGGGATTTCAGTCCCAATTCCTCACCTTGGCTGGTAGGACTGGTCTCCTCTGGGATGGGGGCTGATGTTGTCGGTTTAGGGCTGGGGGTTGAAGGAGGTAAAGCAGGATCCCCTTTTGAAAGAAGACACAACAATAATGCAATAGGGAAGTACAAGCCCTTGCCTTTCCATAGCACCCCTCCAGCCACTCCCGAGAAGGATTCAGTACCATCGGGTTCATCCATCAGTCACGACATTGGTAATGGTGACTAATCATCATTCCTTTTCATAATTTAATGACATGCCTGCTGCATGCTGTACAGAGATGCCGCAAAGGAGAGTTTTGGACATTTACAATGAAAGAAAACTATTACCCCAAAAACCCAAGTGCAAATCGCACACACACTGGCTCGCTGAATATTGTACGAGCACACGGAGAAGTATTTTTGATGCAGTTTCTTTCTCCCTTTCCTAGGACAGCGTTGAGGTCTGCGGTGACCTCTGGAGTGACTAGTTGTTGTAATGGTATAAAAGCTTTTCATTTTATAGCGTGGTTAAGTCCATTCACAGGCACAACTGAGAGACGAGTGAGCTGTGGGTCTCGTGCTAGTCAGGCCCCACTTTGAAAGCTGCTTGAGCACATGCTTCACTTAAAGCTGATGAGAGTATCTACATGCTCGTAGCTATGCGCATGTTTAAAACACTTTGTGAATTGGGACCTTAAAGGGTAAATGCATATAAACATCATTTACCCGTATGAATAGTTCATGAGAGCACCCACAGAAGACATGCTACACTGGGTCCGAGCACTGGTCTGTCTAGCTCAGTTTGCTGTCCTTGACAGTGGAGAGTAGCAGGTCTTAGGAGCAAGAGCATATGAGTGGGGAGTGCCTAGAGTGATCCGTCCTCTATCAGACCCTCCCTGGCATCAACCATCGTTGGTTTGGGAATGTCAGAGGATGCAACCCTGACTATTCAGTTGTTCATTTTAGCAGCTGCACCTCTCAGTCCCAAAGCAAAGGGGGTGGAGGGGTTGACACCTGTTGTAGACAAGCCAACTCCATACAAAGGCAGGGGGTTGGACAAGCCAACTTATGAAGGTCCCTTCCAGCCTGACTCCTCTACGATGCTGTGAATTGCAACCATAACGGTTTGGGACATGTGGGTCTCTGCTGTTGCAAAGAGACGTAGCATGATAGACTTTGATGAGCTGCACTGATTAACATCAGCTGAAAATCTGGGCCATGGTATCCAATGGAAACATCCCCCCGCCCGGGATTTCAGTCCCAATTCCTCACCTTGGCTGGTAGGACTGGTCTCCTCTGGGATGGGGGCTGATGTTGTCGGTTTAGGGCTGGGGGTTGAAGGAGGTAAAGCAGGATCCCCTTTTGAAAGAAGACACAACAATAATGCAATAGGGAAATACAACCCCTTGCCTTTCCACAGCACCCCTCCAGCCACTCCCGAGAAGGATTCAGTACCATCTGGTTCATTCATCAGTCACGACATCGGTCATGGTGACTAATCATCAGTATCCCACTTCAAATTTTAACGAGATGCATGCTGTATGGAGATGCAGCAAAGGAGTTTTTGACATTTATAATGGAAGAAAACTATCACCCAAAAATTCCAAGTGCAAATCGCACATGCACTGGCTCGCTGACAATTGTACAAGCACACGGATAAATGTTTTTGGTGCAGTTTCTGACTACAGATGTGTAAGAGTGAGGCTTATGGTCCAGCAATTATGGAAGAGGCAAGGATTTCTTAGGGTGATATCTTCTATTGGACCAACTATGTAGTTGAGGTAAAATTAAACAAGCTTTCGAATGCCAGCCATTCTTCATCCGTGCGACCTGACAAAGAATGCCGTGCATTTGAAAGCTTGTCTAGCTTCATCCCAACTTCATAGCTGGTCCGATAAAAGAGGTCTCCCTAAGAAACCCTTTCTACTGATGTTCTGAGTACTCACAAATACCCATCACATGGCGATGACAAAGTAAAATAATCAATCACGGATTTTGCTTTCCACTGAAGCGGAGAGCAGTTCTGCAGAACGGAAGAGCTGATTGCTGGTATCTTGAGCCAGGAAAAGCTAAAGCAAGTTCCCTTGTGATTAAGTCTGCATGTCCATTTGGAAGTGGCTTATTATTACACTTTAACAAGTGAAGCGTGGACCTCAATGAGACACGGTTAGGGATTCAGAATACCAAGCCAAGACAAACGTGTTTGCTTCAATAGGTGACTGCAGAGCTAAGTTTCATTTTGGCCTGGACATATTGGGATTCTTTCTTAAGCAAGAGTTTCCACTCGAGCTGTAGGAGAAGACCCACATCAAGGAAGCCAGACAGGAGCCCGAGCTGCAAGCTCACACCTGCATGGTTCATCCTGAACCCTCATCTTAAAAAGTGTGACTACTTTTCGCTGGGGGCAGCACAGACAGTGGAAACTGGAGTAATTGTTGCTCTGGGGTATTGCTGTCAACACCTAATGTTGTATGTCAGGGAACCAGGCTGCGTACAAATTCTTGGCCCTCGTTTGCTACAAAGAGGGGGGTGTGAACATGTGTGTGCATGCGTGTGTGTGCATGTGAGAAATGGATTGAGTAAAAATTCTTGACCCTCTACTAGAAAGTGTGTGTGTGTGTGTGTGTGTGTGTGTGAGAGAGAGAGAGAGAGAGAGAAAGAGAATGGGCCTTGTGCTTTGGTTTTTTCTGCTTCCTGATATAACTTAGCCTGATCATCTTCTGAAAGAGCTGCAAGGCAAATATTTGAGCAGGCATTTAGCAAGCAAAGCTGGGTTGGGATATTTGTTTCAAAGAGGGGCTGCTTTATATTTTATGGCAATCTTCCACTTGCCTTTATAAGTTATTTTATTTCCGTACCGGAAGCTACCTTTGGCCTCGGTTGGCAAGCGCAACGTGTCAATCTCATAAATGCAAGCAATCTAATGACAGGTCATCCCAGGGTTATTAACCAGACTTCCCTGCAGGTGAGGTTACCTTTGTGCACGACATCAGTCTGATCTAAAACTCATGGTCTCCAGCCAGCTTTGGACTAGACCTCACATGAGTGCTGAGGAACTCGCGGAGGGGGAGATGATTGAAGAGAAGCAGAACGGGGATGCTACAGCCTCAGAGAGGGGGTGCACTGCCGGGTGCCCCTCGCAGCAGCCCACAGCGCTGGACCAACTCAGTCTTACAACACTGCGTGCTTGGCCGGCTGTCTCCATCTTCCTGACACCCAGATGTTGGCTGCTGCCAGAGGCAGGATGCCAAGCCAGAGGAAGAAGGGCTGTAAGTTGGCAGAACAAATCCTACACCTCTGTGGGGTCTCCCCTGAGGTCACCGACTGAAGCCTGGGGCCCGGGCACCAACATCTGGGAAGGCTTTACATTGCATAGGCAGGATCAGGGGTGGATCCAGGGGGTGGGGGGGTTGCTGTTGCACACCCTCCCCCTTGATCCCTGCTCCACCTGAAGTTTAAAAGCAGCTGCCTGGCAGTGGCAGCAGCATTTCTATTCAGGCAGCGCTGAGGGAGCCCATTGACTTGATGGCTTATTAAAATCTAACCGATTCCTTCTAAACTCTTCACTCCAGAGGTGTGAAGGACCCTCGCTCCCCTTTTTAATGCTCTGATGTTCTGCTACTCAAGCTAGCCTTTGTTTTGCCTTTCTGCTGCCTGCCAGTTGCTCCAGTAATAGCTCCTATTTCACAGCCTGGCAGACAGTTTTTATCTCATTCCAGTGAAGTTACATTCGTTTTGGCATCAATCTTAAACTGAATAATGCACCAGCATATTAGTAAATCTTCCAGTTGCTTTTTACCTGGAGAAAAATATGTGTTGTGTGTTGCATGTGATAATGCACGTCACCCTGTGCACCCCCCTTTTCAAAATCCTAGCTCCAGCCATGGGCAGGATATGGGGCAAGTCCCTTCTTATCCTCTTGCAGGTAGCCTGGTTCTGCAACCCCTCCTCAGCCCCATGAGTCATTGCATCCAGGCCCCTGGGACTGCCTGTGAGACCAACTTCAATCCAATACATATTGCAGAGCACGGCATTTCATGAAGATTTTGCTGAACCAAACTTGTCTTTGGTGCAAGAGAGCTGGGATGCATTTCAGTCAATGCAGCTGCATCCGCACCCCAGAGAAGTCTGACCCAGTATCTCTGCAAGGCAGCACAACTATATAATGCTCGTTGTCAGCTAATGAAGCATCCATTCTCTCGGTCCTCCTGTCATCATCAACTCCTGACCCTTCCTGCCTTAGCGCTGCTACGGAGAGCCCTGCACCCAGCTGCATCGCACAAGCATTGAGAGCCATTACTCACGGATGCACTTCAGATTGCTCTCTGTCCAGTGGAGTTGGTTGTCTTTCTGCTCACACCTGATGAGGGTGGATGTCCCCGCTTTCCTTTTGTAACCCTCTTTGCACGTATACCGCAGCATGGCATTGAGCACGTTGTTAGTGCCCACGTGGATCTCTGCATTCTCGACCTCTTTTGGTATGCCGCAGCTTCCTGGAAGGACCAAAGAGAGGCAAACTCATCTCTGGACGGTGGCACCAGCGTTTAAATATCGCCAGTTGACTTAAAGCAGCATCTCTAGCTTGCAACGATGTGTGTCCACCACTGCCTTCTCCTGGGTGCGATGTCTAACCTTCCTTCTACATCCCCTTCACTGTGGCTGTTAGTTACTGTATTCTCTCCCGTACAACGTGCGCATTTCCCTTCAAAATCCCCTGCTGAAAATTGCGGTGTGCGTTACAAGGAAATACCGTACACTAATCACAGCTTCTGCTGCTTAAGCTTCTGCCAGGGGACAGCGAAAGTCAGGCTGCATGAGCTCTGCAGAGAGCAGCCCGCTGAGCACACCAGGCTCCCCAGCTGCTGCTACTCAGTTACTTACTGCTACCTACCCATATTTGCAAGGAAAGAACTTTTTCCTTTCATTCTGCCTTAAAATCAGATGCAAAATGTATCTTATTTGGGGGCGTGTGGTATGCAGGAGCATATGGTATTACTTGTATTATCATAGCATGGGAGAAAGGAGGGCTCAGGGCTGGCCTGCAACATGGGAGACTTGGGTTCACTTCCCTGCCCTACTACTGACATCCGGTATGACCTTGACCAAGTCATTTAGTGTCCTCCTGTGGGGCCTATGGAGGAAGTGCATGCACGGAGGGTTTTCCCAGGTGGCTTCTAACCTGAAATCCCTTTAGCGCCATCAACACCAGCACTATGTTGGTAGGATGAACCCTGAAGGAATGGCCATCGCACAGACGGCTATGCTGGCGGCCATACAAACGCAGTGAAAAAAAGATGATTCTCCTCTCCAAACAGCTTCTGATCCAAATTTATAAAATAACAGATGGTGATGGGGAGTACAAGAAACCCCACGAGACAGTATTAGCAGCCAGAGTTCAGCATGCCAGCAGCTTAGCTATTGCCAAACATTTCTTTTTCTGTAGGCAATGCAGCAAAGGAGTTTTTTAAGGAAGAGGAGTTTGCAGAGTTTTTTGGAGAGGACTTTGCAGAGTTTATGGGGCGCTCCCCTCTAGCATAAGGGGTAGCATGGCTGTCTTCTCCGTAGTACATGGGGTGACAAGCGGGCAGAAGTAGGTTTTGATGGGCCTTGAAGCCAGGCTTATGGTTGAGGCAATGGAGAAGGAATGAGTGGAGGGATACAAGGAGAGATGTAACATGGTTAAAACGACCAAGTGGGGAGATGCCAGAGGCGGTACTGAGAACTTGCTAAGGAGCCTGGCATTGGCTCTGCTGACCCCAAGTTTTCTCCCCAGTTCAGCCAGTGGCTATGTCTCTTAGGATGTATCACTTTTCCTTACTTACTCAATGGAATGAAGACTGGTCAGCACCAGCACCCATCAATCACGACATCATCTCTGACCCTACACTCAGTCAACCAGGATTTAATTGGCCACGCCATTATTGGGCACTTCTCAACCATTTTCAAACTGGACTGGGTCACTGTGCCTCAAACCTATACCAATGGGGCCTTCGCAATGACAACAAATGACAAGTTCAAACCGTGTCCCATGCTGTTGACTCATAGTTTCATAGTTTTAGGGTCGGAAGGGACCTAATAGATCTTCTAGCCCGCCCCCCCGCCAGGGCGGGAGAACAACAAAAAACCCTAAAAACAAAAACGGGACTCAAATGAGTCCAGCCAGGTAGGCATCCAGCCTCTTCTTAAAGACCCCCAGGGTAGGGGCCAGCACCACCTCCCTTGGAAGTTGGTTCCAGCTCCTAGCCGCCCTAACTGTGAAGTAGTTTTTTCGGATGTCCAATCTGTACCTCCTCTCCATCAACTTGTGCCCATTACTCCTTGTTATGCCAGCGGGGGCTAGGGGAAACAGCGTCTCCCCCAAACCCTTCTGGTTCCCCCTAGTGAGTTTATAGACGGTCACCAGGTCCCCCCTCAGCCTTCTCTTGTGGAGGCTGAATAGGTTCAGGTCCCGCAGTCTCTCACTGTAGGGTCTGCCCTGTTGTCCCCGGATCATGTGGGTGGCCCTCCTCTGGACCCTCTCCATGTTGTCCACATCCCTCCTGAAATGGGGCGCACAGAACTGGACACAGAACTGGACACAGTCAGCTGCGGCCTGACCAGCGTCGCATAGAGGGGGAGGATCACCTCCCTGGCTCTACTCGAGATGCACCTGTGGATGCACGACAAGGTCCGGTTAGCCCTGCCAATCATGACCTACCAATCCACTACCCACCTCCCCCCAAGTCGAGTATGATCCATCCACCACCACCCTCTGAGTACGACCCTTCAGCCAATCTGCAATCCATCTGACTGTGTAGGCATCTATGCCACAGTCGCCTAGTTTATTAATTAGGATGGGGTGAGAGACGGTGTCAAAGGCCTTGCTGAAGTCCAGAAAGACTACATCTACCGCGACACTCACGTCCGTTTACTACGCTACTCGGTGGCCTTCAAGCTGTTCACACTGGTGATGACGTTGCCTTAAGAAGGCTGAAACAATATGCCGAAACCGCATAAGCAAGATAAATAAATCACTTGACTGACTCGGTTTCTTCATCCCTACAATGGAAATAATGAGCCCTCTCTTCCCCCACTATTTGGGATCAGGAGGATCACCTAAAGGCAGGTGATCTTTGGAGATGGTAAGGATGATAGCCCAGACTCCACTGTCCATCCCAGTTCAGAAAAGCACCTAAGGACTTGCTTAACTTTAAGCTCTTGCTTACACCCCATTGACTTCCACGCATTCAACTGTGTGCTTTGCTTGCAGGAAAATGCTTGGTTAAATAGGGAGAGTCTTGAGCACATATTCAAACGCATCTCTGAGCTAAATAGATCATGCACTAAATATAGGCATTACATTTATGGCATATTATAAACCACCTGCCGTCTGACAGCCCCAGGTAACCTCTCTATGTTTTACCGGCTACATTTTACCACCTGCCGACATTCCCCTTTTGTTTCCACGCCCCACACACCTGCCTGTTTTACACCCGCGAACTCCTATCCCCTCTGATCTTCCCTGCCATGCATTTGCATTCTCACAGACCTGCATTTTGCATATTGGTTTAAGATTCTAGTTGATCCTAGAGAGAAGACCAACACCAGCATTCTCCCTATGCCTGAAGAAGGGCGCCTGTGCCCGAAAGCTTGCAAAGAACAATTTTTCCAACTATTCAGTTGGTCTAATAAAAGATATCGCATCTACCCAAAGAACCACGTCTGTCTCTGTGCTAGGACCTGAGACCATGTCAAATTTGCCAGAAATGTGGATGTACGCAGCGGGGGCCTACATGCAGCAGGCACCTGCTCACATGGGGGAAGTAGAAGGGTTCAAGACTTTGCAAATTCAGCTACACCCTTAAGCAAAGAAAGGCCCTGTGAACACACTCCTTTACAGACCAAGCAAGTTCTATCAATGTCTGAAACAGAAACTGAAAACTCACATGCCAGTGAGTTTTATGGTTCCTTCTTGTAATAACTGATACCATATCAAGCAATGCCATTTTGCTGCTGCAGTAAATGCAAGAGGGTCAGGAGAGGACATCCAGAGGTCCTCTAGTCCAACCCCCTGCCTGAGGCAGGGACACAAGGCATCGCACCTGAACCTGCCACAGGTAAAGCAGGGGGACCACAGCAGGCAACATCCTACTTTTGTTAATACATGTTTGAGAGATCCCAGGTAGGGGCCATGTCGCCCAGCTACAGAGGAAGGCAACCTTCCCGTTCCCCATCAAGTTCATACCCATCTGACTAAGGGGGTAAAACTCCTTCCTGACTCCAAATATAAGCATCTAAGCACTGCTCTAGCATCTCAGTCCTGGGGAGTACTATGTGCAGTTCCAGCCTTTGCATCTTAAAAAGGAAGTGGAGAAGATGGAGAGGGTCCGGAGGAGGGTAAGAAAACAAAGAGCAGAAAGGCAAGTTATATATGGGGAGGTTGGAGGAATTCATCATGTTTGCCTTGGGGAATAGGCAAACCAGGGAGGTCACAACAAAAGTTTTCAAATGTTTGAAAGGCTGCCATGAAAAAGAGGTGGAACAACTGTTTCTGCTCACTGTAGAGGCTGGGACATGAAGTTTAAATTGCAGCAAAATAGATTTGGGTTAGGTCTTGAGAAAATAACTCCTGAGCGGATAAAACAGTAGGAAAGAGGAATAGATAGAGGAAGCTTTGGCATCCCCTTCAATGGAGGCTTTCAAGAGGAGATCGGATGAGCGTTGGACAGCTGTGATTTAGGAGTGCAGCGGGTTGGACCAGATGCTGCTCGAGATCCCTTGCAACCCTAGGAGTTGGGACATGGGGATCTCCTTGAGATTTAGAGGCATGAACAGAGCCTCACAATGTGGCTGCGAGGTAGGTGGGCCTTCCTGAATCTACAGACAGTAAAATGGGCCTAGAAAGACTGCACTACCTATAACCACATAGGCCAACACTTGCCCCTATGCAGACTTATGCCCCAGCAAAGCTCCATCCATGACGTGAAAGAACCAGGTGCAGTCTTCAGAAGACCTTGTTCCCAGTTCAAGTCCCTCATTTCCTCCCTGAAACACTGCTTGTTTTATAACCCGATGAACTTTCACAAATAGAGAACTGCTCCGTTAAAAGGGTAAGAGTCAGCTCTTCTGCTTCTTGAGTGAAAGGCGATGACCAACGCAACACGCCTCTGAGAAGGGATGATGTGTTCGAAGGCTGCAGAGCTGAGGTTCCTCTAAATCAGCTGTGGCTGTGTGGGCATTTGAGGATGGGAACTGCTGTGAGCACAAAGAGATGTGCCATTTTGTAATGGCTAAACTAGAGAGTGCTCCAGCAAGCCACTGCCTAGATTAATGAGCTTTTGCCACTTATTATGACTTCCTTGAAGACTTTGCCAGTGCACGGGGAAGGAGAAGCTAGAACTGGAAACCCAACACCAGAGGCTGCAGAACAGGGAGCGGCACCATCAACACTGATGAGAGCTGCCATTGTTCAACATTTTCCAGGCCAGGGTCCCACGCGGGGAAGGCTGAGACCTGGAATAGTCTTCCTCAGGAGGGCACTGAATCTCCATTAATGCTAGATATCTCGACCCACCAGATACCCTTGATCATGCCTCATAGCAGGGGAAGGCAGGGGAAGGTCTCTTCAGGTCCCTCCCAGCCTGATCATCTTTGATTTCTATTAAGAACATGAAGTAATGTATTTGCCTGCTGTTGAAGCACAAATGTCCCACCTGATGGTTGTTCCTGGAAGTCACGTGTTTTTACTGCTAAGCTTGAGCAGCTGGAAGCCCAAGGTGCTCGGACTGGTGGATGCAGCCAACTGGACTTCCAGCGTGGCTTGCTGCAGTGCCTAATTGCTCTTTTTTTTAATTTATGGGTTTTCAAGCCACTACAGTCAGCCTGGTCTTTGCAGGCCCTCTGAATGAAATACCTG